TGCAGAAAAGATGACCCCTTCACATTTTATTGCCCTGTAAGTTATTAGTTTTATATCCATTACCAAATTATTTTAAGCATTTCTGTCTACCTGTAGGTCTATTCTTCAAATTCTCCCTTATACCAGTTTTAACATCTTATTAGTTACCTTATTCTTTAATGAGTTAAATGAAATACATTAATATGTGTTAAAAAAAAAGCAACTGTCACATGTAGAATTTAATTTTTAATAACAAAAGAACTTCTGTACTCTTTATCATGGGTGATATATTTAAATTAGTGGATGTCATTTCAGAAACCATATATATAGTTTTTTTTGCTTTTGTTTTTAATCTAGAGGAGTCTTGGAGTAATCTCTTCTCCCTTTATTCAAATTGATGACTCTGGTAGATTCCTTAAACATTAAAATTGTCAAAAACATACCAGATCTGTTAAAAAAACACAAAAAACTATGCCTTCTTTAGGAATCATCAATTCACAGATGTAGGCAACTGACAATCATGTTTGTAGTCTATGACTTCCTTCCCTCCTAGCTGTAGTGGCCCTAGCCAGTCAGCTTATGTAAGTGGTGGGAAATGCAATGTATTAATATTAGGTCTGCTAACATGGGATCAAAGAAGCAAAGAAAGCCAGGCTAAAGAACAAGAAAGAATGAAACATGACAGGGTGAAATATACCTGAGGAAGAAAAATACTATATATCATGGATTCCTGAAGACTACTTAGGTTCTACTCTCATCCTAAAACTGACTCTATTCCTATCCTTCAGATCCATGAGGCACTTCAATATACTTAAAATATATCTGTTCACTTCTTTGCTTAGATTATTTGTGACTATGAAGTCTTAATTGATAGTTGTATGATTGCTTAATAATCAAAAGAGTATTTTAATATATACTCTCAATTATGTGGCTTTGGAATACATTTATATATTTAAAACTATGCTTATAACGGGTAAGTAAATTTTTGGACTTTTGTATCAAAAATTCAAATTGCATTTGGAATGTATATATTCTATTTAACTTGTAATTTCTGTGTAATACCCAATATAATTATCATCAGTAAGTCTCTAAATCTCCTTACTGTTAAAAAGAAAATCACAGGATCATAATGGAGTCACTTAAAGTTATTTAAGGCTTCTTGTAAGACAAGATTTAATACCTAAGCTAACTGCATTATCAACCTCCTCAAGAATGTAACCTCTAACCAATGAAGCTAGAATGTCCTGGAAGCTTGCTCTCTGGGAGATCCTCCCCCCTTAGGAGGAGAACCTTACCCAAACAAAGCCTTTCTTTTTTTATGCTGTCTTTGCATAAAAGTGCACACCTGAGTTTATGCTAATGAGGTGACTTAGGGTGGGTCCCCTACATGGAGACAGGATGGGACTGGGTCACCAGAAAGACTAAGTTTAAGTTAAAGGGTGGTGTTATGGACTGACTGAGTTCCCTCAAAATTGATTATATTGAGCCTTAACCTTTTCTGTGACTATATTTGGAGATGGGGCCTTGTGAGAGATAATAAAGGTTAAATGAACTCATGGATAGGGCCCCATAACAGGACTGGTGTCCTTGTTCTCCCCACGCATGACACAGACAAAAGGCCATGTGAGAATACAGGTAGCGGTCTGTAAGCCAGAGAGACCTCTCCAGAAACCAACTCAGATGATTCCTTGACCTTGGACTTACAGACCCCAGAACTGTGAGAAAATAATCTGTTGTTTAAGCTACCCAATCTGCATCATTTTTTTATGGCATTATTAGCCACCTAATAATGGTGGGAATTTTCTACCCAACTCTTGACCTCTGGGGAGTAGAGGGGGGTTGAAAATTCTCTGTAAAAACTTGTGAACAATGATCCGGGAGCTCCCAGGTTGGTGAACACATTGAGTTACTGGAAAGGCAGCACCCAGGGAGGTGTGAAAGCTGTGTCTCCCCTCTTCCTTTGCCCTATGCATCTGTCTTTTCCATTTGGCTGTTCCTCAGTTGTATCCTTTATAATAAACTAGTAATTTTAAGTAAGGCTTTTTTTCCCCTGAGTTCTGTGAGCCATTCTAGCAAATTATCAAATCTAAGGGTAAGGCTGTAGAAACACTCAAAATTTGTAGTCAAATTAGACAGAAGTGTAGATAGTCTGGGGACCCAGGATTTATAACTGGTATCTGAAGTGAAGGTAGTCTTGTGGAACAAGCCCTTAAACCTGTGGAGTCTGATGCCAACTATTTTGAGTTAGTGTCAGAATAGGATTGAACTGTAGGACACCTAGTTGGGTGTCAGAATTGTAAAATCAGAAGTGGTGTCAGACAACAAATATTTAATGTAATATATTTATAGCAGTATTTGATGTTTAGAATTACAAAGGAATATTAAATTCACAAATTTTGGTTCTTACATTTTATTTTGTGAGATATCTACTAATCTAATAAAAAAATAGACAGGTAATTTCTATGCAGTTCAAAATCAAAACAGGATGTTTTCCCATCATGGTAAACAAACCAAGTATACACTGTTACATGAAGTAATAAAACTTCCTAGAAAGAATACAAACAGATACACTAATAAGCATTGAACAATTTTATTTTAGTTTCTTTTCATAATGTATGCACATAAAATGAGACTGTGCACAATAGACCAAAGTCTACCCAGAGACCAATTAGTCATATAAAATAATTTAAGGCAAATTTTACTTATTTGCTTTATGTAAGGCAAGTGAAATGTGGGTTCAGAATTAAACAAGATTTTCATGTTGTCATATAATGGGAGAATACCAACATCAAATTTTTGATAATATTTGTATAAAGCTGAAAACAAATGATTTCCAATTTGTAGTTAAATGAATTCTTCTAATATAATACCATTAAGTCAACAAAGTCACTGGCATGTTATTTGATGGCATCCAAATCCCACAATATTTTCTCAATATAAATTTTGGAACATTCTGAATACTTTTTAAATGAAACCTGAAAAAAGTGAGTCAGAGAGTCAAACAAAAGTGGAAAACTACTATAAGTTTCAGAGGGTTAGTGTAAAAGTACTGATTTTAAAATGCCACTGAAAAACATCTTAAAGCCCTTTTTCTCTTTACTGGAGATTCAATAGTGGATTGTGTTCTAATTCAACAATTAATCATGTTTATATAGCAAACTCGTTAATTTTTATACCTGGCTATGTGTTCACGGGCTATAATAAGCCTTTGAATTTGTGCTGTACCTTCATAAATCTGCAAGAAAAAAATATACATGAAGGTTAAATATCTTCACTACATAAATACTTCAACTTACTCAGAATTTTGGACAGTAGGATAAGTTCCATTGTAATACCAAATTGAATCAAACCATATATAGAGTTTCTAGTCTACAGTAATTTTGAGACCTGACATTGTGAAACCTATGAAAATATGTAATTTTCTAAAGATTAGTTAAAATTATTGTAAAAAGTCATTCACCATAATTTTGGAGCAAAGTCTTAAAAAATCAAAAAGATACTAATATTTCAAAAAGTTGGGAAATTTTAAAGATAAATGTTACTAAATTTTTTTTTAAATTTTTGAAATCTTAGCTAGTTGTCACCAATAATTTTCTATTCTTACTCTTAAACCTGATTTTCTTTCTCCTGTCAAATGAAGAGTTGCTAAAGAAAAAAATGCTAGAAGAATCTGGTTTTGTTCACTTAAGATATTCCTAATAGCCAGCCCTCACTTCTACTTTAAATTTCTAACCCTAGTGATTTGTTAGTTCATTTTCTCAGATGGCAGAGAAAAGTCAAATGGTTGACAACAGTAGTAATTATAATAATTACAGACTCTAGGAGTGGGAGAGTATCATCAGGTAAATCTGTAACTTTGGATAAGGCACAAATCCCGGCCCTCAGTTTTTTCATGTCTAAATTGAGAGGCTACACTACCTAACTTTCCTTTTCACTCTAGCATTCTGTAATTCTACCTCTACATTTCAAATGACTGGATCTGTCAAATAATTTGCTAGGGTAAAGGGAAACAAGGGAAGAGATAATGATGAAAATGGGTTATAATTATTTTGGCTACATGTGGAGAACATGTGCATTTGTATCTTATTAACTAAATTACTCCTATCACCAAGTTTTTCTAATAACCAATTTAATTTAGAAAACAGTCATGTATATCACTGCCTCCTCCTGTTGGTTTTACACTCCCAAATATAGTTTATAGTTTCAGCCAATTCAATAGCTGTCAGGCAAGACTCTGAATAATTTAATTAATTTTAAATGGTATGCTTACTTTCAGGAGAGCAAAGGATGGGTTATGAATAGCTGAGATGTTAAGACTCAAAGGCTGATCCAGACATATGCATACATATGTACCATTTACTTTGTTAGCTATTCTCTCTTAAGGCATTTACTTAAAGGTGGCATTCTTTGTGTTAATTAGTTCTAAAAATTCCAGCTGCCAGTCATCTATGACTTTCATTTATTATTACTCATGGCAGAACATCTCTATTTAATCAGAAATCTACTCTGCCATCTCAAATACTCTGCTCCCATGAGAACAACAAAACATTTTTAACCTTACCTGATAGATTTTGGCATCCCTCATTAGTTTTTCTACAGGATATTCTGTATTAAATCCATTGCCTCCAAAAATCTGCACGGCATCAGTAGCTAACTGATTTGCGATATCTCCAGCAAATGCCTTTGCAATAGAGGCATAATAGGTATTTCGGCGACCAGAATCAACCTCCCAGGCTGCTCTCTGGTAACTCATTCTAGCTAGTTCAACTTTCATTGCCATTTCAGCCAGCAAAAATGATATTCCTTGGTGCTAAAATTAAAAAGAAAAAAGTTTAAGGGTAACTAGTAATTTAAAAGTTTTTCTCCTTGAATTTTTTTTAACTTTTAAAATTAATTTTAGGTTTGAAAGTTACACTCCACTTCCTCCAATGTTCACATATTACAAAACAATAGTATAACGATCAAGGATAGGACAGTAATGTTGTTACAATATTTTCAACTAAACTATAAGCTTTATTCAAATTTGGTCAAATTTTCCACTAATGTCCTTTTTCTGTTCAAGGACCTAAACCACTCACTCCAAAGGACAGATCCACCAGAGAGAAAATAAGTAAGGACACAGAGGCACTGAATAACACACTAGAACAGATGGACCTAATAGACATCTACAGAACTCTACACCCAAAAGCAGCAGGATACACATTCTTCTCAAGTGCACATGGAAAATTTTCCAGAATAGACTACATACTAGGCCATAAAAAGAGCCTCAGTAAATTAAAAAAGACTGAAATTCTAACAACCAACTTCTCAGACCACAATGGTATAAAACTAGAAATAAATTGTACAAAGAAAACAAAAAGGCTCACAAACACATGGAGGCTTAAAAAAATGCTCCTAAGTAATCAATGGATCAATGACCAAATTAAAATAGAGATCAAGCAATATATGGAGACAAATGACAACAGAACAAAGCCCCAACTTCTGTGGGACACAGTGAAGTCAGTTCTAAGAGGAAAGTGTACAGCAATCCAGGCCTATTTAAAGAAGGAAGAACAATCCCAAATGAATAGTCTAAAAGTCACAATTATTGAAACTGGAAAAAGAAGAACAAATGAGGCCCAAAGTCAGCAGAAGGAGGGACATAATAAAGATCAGAGAAGAAATAAATAAAATTGAGAAGAATAAAACAATAGAAAAAAATCAATGAAACCAAGAGCTGGTTCTTTGAGAAAATAAACAAAATAGATAGGGCCCCAGTCAGATTTATTAAGAGAAAAGAGAATCTAAACACATCAATAGAATCAGAAATGGGAAAGGAAAAATCACGATGGACCCTACAGAAATACAAAAATTATTAGAGAATACTATGAGAATCTATATGCTAACAAGCTGGAAAACCTAGAAGAAATGGACAACTTCCTAGAAAAATACAACCTTCTAAGACTGACCACGGAAGAAACAGAAGATCTAAACAGACCAATTACCAGCAACAGAATTGAAGCAGTAATCAAAAAACTACCCAAGAACAAAATCCTCAGGCCAGATGGATTCATTGCTGAATTTTATCAGACATATAGAGAAAAAATAATACCCATTCTCCTTAAAGTTTTCCAAAAAATAGAAGAGGAGGGAATACTTCCAAACTCATTCTATGAAGCCAGCATCACTCTTATACCAAAACCAGGCAAAGACCCCACCAAAAAAGAAAACTACAGACCAATATCCCTGGTGAACATAGATGCAAAAATACTCAAAAAAATATTAGCAAACCGAATTAAAAAATACATCATGAGGATCATACACCATGGTCAAGTGGGATTCATCCCAGGGATGCAAGGATGGTACAACATTTGAAAATCCATCAACATCATCCACCACATTAACAAAAAGGACAAAAACCACACAATCATCTCCACAGACACTGAAAAAGCATTTGACAAAATTCAACATCCATTCATGATAAAAACTCTCAACAAAATGGGCATAGAGGGCAAGTACCTCAACATAATAAAGGCCATACATGACAAACCCACAGCCAACATCATACTTAACAGCAAGAAGCTGAAAGCTTTTCCTCTAAGATTGGGAACAAGACAAGGATGCCCACTTTCCCCACTGTTATTCAACATAGTACTGGAGGTCCTAGTCAGGGCAATCAAACAAAACAAAGAAATACAAGGAATCCAGACTGGTCAAGAAGAAGTCAAACGGTCACTATTTGCAGATGACATGATATTGTACATAAAAACCCTAAAGACACCACTCAAAAACTACTATGTGAATTCAGCAAAGTTGCAGGATACAAAATTAATACACAGAAATCTGTTGCTTTCCTATACACTAATGATGAACTAGCAGAAAGAGAAATCAGGAAAATAATTCCATTCACAAAAGCATCAAAAAGAATAAAATACCTAGGAATAAACATAACCAACGAAGTAAAAGAGCTATACCCAGATAACTACAACACACTCTTAAGAGAAATTAAAGAAGACACTAACAAATGGAAACCCATCCCATGCTCTTGGCTAGGAAGAATTAATATTGTCAAAATGGCCATCCTGCCTAAAGCAATCTACAGATTCAATGCAAGACCTATCAAAATACCAACAAGCATTCTTCAATGAACTGGAACAAATAGTTTTAAAATTCATATGGAACCACAAAAGACCCCAAATAGCCAAAGCAATCCTGAGAAGGAATAATAAAGTAGTGGGGGGTGGGGGATCTCACTCCCCAACTTCAAGCTCTACTACAAAGCCACAGTAATCAAGACAATTTGGTACTGGCACAAGAACAGACCCATAGACCAGTGGAACAGAATAGAGACTCCAGATATTAACCTAGACATATATTGTCAATTAATATATGATAAAGGAGCCATGGACATACAATGGGGAAATGACAACCTCTTCAACAGCTGGTGTTGGTAAAATTGGACAGCTACATGTAAGAGAATGAAACTGGATCATTGTCTAATCCCATACACAAGAGTAAATTCGAAATGGATCAAAGATCTGAATGTAGGTTATGAAACCATAAAACTCTTGGGGAAAAAAATAGGCAAAAATCTCTTGGACATCAACATGAGCAACTTCTTCATGAACACTTCTCCCCGGGCAAGGGAAACAAAAGCAAAAATGAACAAGTGGAACTATATCAAGCTGAAAAGCTTCTGTCCATCAAAGGACACCACCAATAGAACAAAAAGGTATCCTACAGTATGGGAGAATATATTTATAAATGACAGATCCAATAAAGGGTTGACATCCAAAATATATAAAGAGCTCACACACCTCAACAAACAAAAAGCAAATAATCCAATTAAAAAATGGACAGAGGAGCTGAACAGATAATTATCCAAAGAAGAAATTCAGATGGCCAACAGACACATGAAAAGATGCTCCACATCGCTAGTCATCAGAGAAATGCAAATTAAAACCACAATGAGATATCATCTCACACCAGTAAGGATTGCCACCATCCAAAAGACAAACAACAACAAATGTTGGCGAGGTTGTGGAGAAATGTGAACCCTCCTATGCTGCTGGTGGGAATGTGGGAATGTAAATTAGTTCAACCATTGTGGAAAGCAGTATGGAGGTTCCTCAAAAAGCTCAAAATAGAAATACCATTTGACCTAGGAATTCCTCTCCGAGGAATCTACCCTAAGAAAATAGGATCACAGATTCAAAAAGACATATGCACCCCTATGTTTATCGCAGCACTGTTTACAATAGCCAAGAAATGGAAGCAACCTAATTATCCATCAGTAGATGAATGGATAAAGAAGATGTGGTACATATAGACAATGGAATGTTTTTCAGCCATAAGAAGAAAACAAATCCTACCATTTGCAACAACATGGATGGACCTAGAGGGTATTATGCTCAGTGAAATAAGCCAGGTGGAGAAAGACAAGTACCAAATGATTTCACTCATATGTGGAGTACAAGAACAAAGAAAAAACTGAAGGAGCAAAACAGCAGCAGACTCACAGAACCCAAGAATGGAGTAACAGTTACCAAAGGGAAAGGGACTGGGGAGGATGGGTGGGAAGGGAGAAATAAGGGTGGGGGGAAAAAAGGGGGCATTATTATTGGCATGTATAATCTGGTGGGGGCACAGGGAGGGCTGTTACAACACAGAGAAGACAAGTAGTGATTCTACAACATCTTACTATGCTGATGGACAGTGACTGTAATGAGGTATGTGGGGGTTACTTGGTGATTGGGGGAGTCTAGTAAATATAATGTTCCTCATGCAATTGTAGATTAATGATACCAAAAAAAAATCTATATTCATCTTGGAAAAAAAAAAAGAATCTTGAGGCAAAAATATCCTGATGCACTTAGTAAGAACAAAAAAAGAATCTGCAGAGCATATGAGAAATGGAACATAAAGAGAAGATTCCATATTGTGTTGAAAATAGAAATTATTTATCAGATACTTGGGTGAGGAGGACCTGGAAATGATGACCGATCTGCATGGAATAATATTTATAGTTGTTCTCTAAATAAGTTTTTGATCCAGCTAACATATTCATAATATTAATTATGATTAATATTCAGTAATATACATTTTATTAATCTGCATATGTATATATAGTTCTGGCATCAGGAACAAGCTAGTGTAGACACTGGCCACAAACACAAATACCTGACTGGAAAAAAAACCAAAACCTCAAAGGAAAGATTTCCAGCCCCCCTTCTTGTGCTGATAGTGAGATTCCCTGAATATAAGAGCATCTCTTTCCAAAGGAGGAGCTAAAATCTCAGCTCATCAGGGCAGGAATGCCACAAAGATGCTTATCTCGCCCAGGACTGTGTAGGACATTTAACAAAAAAAAGAGTCTCTTTTAAGTGTGCAATCAATATATACAGCTTCTGGAAAGAACAAACTAGCCACAGACTCACAGACACTGAGAAGGGACTATTGGTTACCAAAGGGAAGGGACTAGGGAGAGTGGGTGGGGAGGAAGGGAGATGGAGATTAAGGGGTATTATAATTAGCAATCACAATATAGGTAGGTCACAGGGAGGGCAGTCCAGCACAGAGAAGACAGGTAATGACTCTACAGCATCTTACTATGTTGATAGTCAGTGACTGCAATAGAGGGAGTGAGAACTTGGTAATATGGGTGAATGTTGAAACCACAGTGTTGTTTATGGTTTAAATAAATAAATAAGTACACATACATATACGGCTTCTGTGGTTATAGGATTCCCCAACTGGAGAAATTAACATGAAAAAAATAGCTTTCAGAATGGTGAAACCTCTGGGGTACCTGATAAAAGTTCAGAAAAAGAACAAAAGCCAATCTCTAGGATGCTTCCACAGTGCATTGAAGAAAATAATAGCAGATAAGCTTAGAGGCAGAAATTTAGAAAGGAAATAATTGGCCTTCATGGATAGCAAATTCAATAGACTAAAACATTAGCACCTTAGGAACTTGATATAATGGGGAAAAAATCTGAAAGTGACTATAAATGAAATGTTTTTATATAATTAAGAAGATACAAGGAGAAAGAGAACCTATGTTGAAAAACCAGGCCAACATAAAAGAAAAAGGGTAAAATTGAAAAAGAATCAAATATAAATTCTAGAAATGAAAAGAGTCATGAAAAAAATTCAAAGTGGATTAAGTAGCAGTTGAGGCACAAGATCAAAGAACTGTAAAGCAGATCTGAGAGAAGTATCTAGAATATAGCACAGAGAGATAAATTATGAAAGTGAGCTTAAATGACACAACAGTACTAATTCAAATTTGCTCTGTAACCTGGTGCCAATCTACAAACTTACTAGTTCATGATATAGAAAGTGAGTTAAGAATTTGGAAACTTTTATAACAATTTAATATTGTCACATTCTTGTATTTCACACAAACAATGGTCCACAACTGATTGGAAATTAAAAATAATTTTTCACCGCAGTTTGAGAACTACACTGACTCATGAGGATAGAAGTTGGGGGTTTTTACTGTACAACCTATAGTGGGTTACAGAAGCAGAGGATACAGATAATGGTGGAACATCACTTGGAAGAGCTGAAAGTTTCCCTGGAAATTTATGGAAGACTTGACTTTTTAGTACTAAAATTATTTGATAATCAAGAAGATATGGGAAGTAACATGGATTAAAAAGCAATGGAGTTCTGGATCTATGATTTATAAATTGTGTGATACTAGAAAAAAAATCTCTGAGCCTCAGTTTCCTGATCTTTACTGGTGGTTACAGTACTGTCAAAACAAGGGTAGTACTGGGAGACTTACCGAATATATTTAAAATCTGTACCACACTGTGAAGTATACAATAGGTACTCAACAACTATTAGCTGTTCTTTTTATTCTTCTTAATTAACATAATTCCCTAAGTGGACAATACCTAGTGTCAGAGTCTAAACAGAATCTATTTTTGAAACCTATCTTAATTTATCACATTATCTTCTTGCTACAGAAGAAGAAATAAATTAGTTTGTATTTAAGATAATTTTCAAATATCTAGATGAAAACGAGTATCTTTACATTTGAACAAAGCAAGTAATACAGTATTAAAATTACCTCTACAAGGAGCTTTCCAAAAGTTTTTCTCTCCAGGGCATACTTGGTAGCTTCATCCAAAGCTCTTTGTGCTAGTCCCACAGCACCAGCTGCTACCTAGTATGTTAAAATTTCACAAAGCAAAAGTTCATGTTTTCTTTAAAACAATAAAATGGCTATTGCCAAAGACTCTAAATTAAGGATTATACAAAGAGATGACAACCCATACCTCCAGACAACAAAAGAGGGGAGTGGAGAGAACAAGCGTTTAAATTTATATATATATATATATATATATATATAGTTTTTATGAATTAAATGTTCACGGAGGGCATTTGTAAGGCACAGGATAATAGCCTAGGAGACAAGTAATTCCTTCTGTTTAACAAGGGAAAGCTTCTAAGGGGAAATATTTCTAATGCATGAGAGAAGAGTAAATGAGTATGCATCAGTAGGAATGATTAAGTATAAATTGCATCTCTACAAATCTAGCAGCAACTATAGTAATTTTGTATTTGGTAAGATAATTTCTATAACAGGCATCAAGAGTTAAAGAATCCTTAACACTAAAGAAAAATAACATCTCTCCATCCTTAATAAAAGCAGATATTAAAAAGAAATACACACCAACCATACAATATTAAAATAAAACTATTCAATGTAATACAAGATCCTATAAAGATTATCAAGTCATATTACTTACTGGAGGTCTGGTTTTATCAAAAGCTCCCATTGCAATTTTGAAACCAGCTCCCTCACCAATTAAAACGTTTTCTTTAGGCACTTTTACATCTTCAAATACAATTCCTCTTGTATCTGAACATCTCTGGCCCATATTTAATTCCTAATTAAGGAAAGTGATATATATTAAGGAACATTTTTTAAACTGGCATGAGTTATTGCTTTAACCACTGTTTTATGACTCTTTGCTAAATTGTCTAAAATTTGGAGGTTGACAAACTGGACTGTAAAGCCTGTATGTAAAGAAAGCTTTATTGGAATACAGTCACATCTATTCATTTTCAAGCCACATATGGCTACTTTTTTGTTACAATGGCAGAAGACAGTAGTGTGACAAGAGGCCACATGACACTCAAAGTCTGAAATATTTACAATCTGGATCTCTATATAAGTTTGTCAACCCCTAGTATAAAAGTATTTCACAAACTTTGAAAGCAGTAATAGTTGAAAGGTCAATATGTAGATATTAACTACAAAGACAAATTTCATTATACACTTGAATGTCCAGAAAAGCATTTAGTAAACAATCTGATTTGGGATGTTTAATTTTAGCTTAACTAATAGAGCTAGCAAAGTAATGTACTCAGTAAAAGTTAATTTGTTTTCCCCAACTCTTTAAAATTGAGGTAGAATTTACATATATAAAAATTCACCCTTTTATATACACATTTCTAATAGTTTTGACAAATGTATATGTGTGTCACCACTATATTCAAGATACAGAATATTTCAATACCCCAAAAAGTTCCCTTGTACCCCACCCCTTTTTAGTCAATT